ACCAAAAATCACACCGTTCCTTATCCTGCTCCAGCACGAAGATGCTTTACATAATATCGCTTACGCAACCCTGAGCAAAGCAAACAAAGTTCTTATTAGAAAAACTGGCTTTTGTTTCGGAAAAGGAAGATAATCGTTATTAACTAATTGTGTAGGTAATCATTAAATGTCTCTGATTACGGCAGCTGGATGCTTAGATGATGATGACAACGACCACATTTTAAGCTCTCTGCTATTAACTCATAAACTGTGGAATCGAAAAATATAATAATAACTTTTCTGTTTCGATTGACCCTTTAGCAATTAGAAAGCTGTTTGAATACAAGTAATGTAAAAATTTCTTTGTTTTTATCCTTTTAATTGTTGTAATTGGAGACAAAATAGGTACGTGAGCGCCGGCGCTCGTTTGGGGTTTGATGAAATTAATACGTTTTTATTAATAACTTTCTATAGATAAATTTTATTTATTAAAGCCACATGAAAACTTAACTTTATCTTTGGACCTGTTTAAATTGTAACACACTTGCGAATCAGTAAGATATGGAACACGATTAAATTATTTATACCTACACATTTTCAGAAGCCAAGCTTCTGAACTATAATATGAATCAGAATATTTTTTTTATTCATTAGTTGCCACTGTTTGATTGGATTCTCAAATTTTTTGCTTTATGCAATTTTTCGTATTGGTTTTTACAATTTTGAAAATGGTTGCATTGTTTTTTATGAGCGATTCTTATAAAAGTTGTATGTTGATTTCAGGTTAGAGGTGTGACTGATTCGTATTGTCTCAGTTCGTTTAAATTAAGTGGGTCTATGCAATTGTGTTGTAACATTTGTTTGTTAATCTTTGTGCATGGACGGTGCATTTCTCTTCACACGGAAACTAATATTAGCACGTTAAAGTAAACAATGTCTGGCTTGGTTAATGTTTTCCCATTACTATGAGTACGCGGAACAACTTTTGGTTCGACCAAGCATAATTCTACTGCCAACATTATAGTCTAGGATTTATTATTGTTACATATTTGACAGTGTTTTTTTCAATACTAAAAGACACATCTGTTATTGACAAACCAATAAAGATTTTTATTTTTATTAGTATATGACATGATATAGGTACCATTGTCAATTTTCATTAGAAGGTTTTATAAGAAAACAAAAGGAAAAAAAATGTTGAGCCTGCGATTCATTGTTTTTCTAGGTGTATTTTTTTTTTGTTTTGTGCATATTCTTATTTTAAATATTTTCTTAGAATGCGGTCGTTTCGATGGTCTAATAGAATCGTGGAATCAACAATATCATTATTTGTTTTCAGAAAGGTATAGGCAGGTAGCTATTGTTAATCGTATTGCATAATATGTTTCCAATATCGTTTAATTATACATTTTAATCGCCATTAATGGCGAGTCAAACTGAGTTTTACCCAATTTCTACATTATGCAGTAAAGCCAAGATTTACTTTATAATTACTTACTTATGATGTAAAATAGGTATCTTGCGTAAAACGTTCATAAATTCCTATTTTTTGAATAGTGCCCAATTCTTTTAAAAAAATGTAGGAAGGTATACATAAATAAGATGTTTCGTAAAATTAAAACGTACATAGGTATTTGCCTAATTAATACATACGGGTTTTTCTACCAAAAAATCATAACCAAAATACTCAATTAGGTAGTCATTGTAATTTTCCAAATTTAAAATTTATAAATGTTCGAATTTGAGGTCTTACGGAGCTGGTTGATTTAAAAGTCCGTGTCGCCTATTTGTAGCTGATATAGTTTAAAGATAATCCAGGCCTTTTTTTGTTAAACTGTCTTGAAAGTATGTAATTAACACTCTAAAATTATTATATTAATTAATAATAGTTTTATGCTGATAGGTGTTAATTTTCTCCACTATTTATCATCGATCAATCATCAGCCTATAAGTGCCACTAATGAGCCTCTTCTTACACGGAGAAGGTTTGAGCATTAATCACCACGCTCAATGCGGGTTGGCGATTCCAGACTTAGAAATTATAAGTCCCGGTTTTCTCACGATGTTTACATTCACTGTACATATGTCAGTGGTGTCTAAATAATCATAGAAAGTACATAAACTCGGAAAGTCACATTGGTAATTGCAAGGTTTCGAACCCACGCCATCATGCATGAGAAGCGGGCTCCTTAACCTCCGGGCCACCACGACGTTTAATGGATGTCATCTACTATTTAAAAAACATTCATCTTTAATCACTCTGTCTATAAAAAATCCGCATCAAAATCTGTAGCGTAATTTTGAACATTTAAGTACACATAGGGACGGAGAAAGCGACTTTGTTTTATAGTAAATCAAACTAAACACTTATTTCATAGTTAAATTATTTGTATTTAAGTATTACTGAGACTGTCTAAAAAGTTGCTGTCATTTTTTTTCGGATCCTTTGGTTACACATTAAAGTCCACACTGTTCTCACATAATGAACTATCGAAATTATGTTACAATGCATTGTGAAAAGTGATTGAAAAAGAGTTACCATGGAGTTTCTTGCTCGTTCTTCTCCATAGGAATCTACACTTTGGAACGAACAAATAGCCTCACTAGAGGACAGACGGACAGACTGACACATATAAAGTAAAACCTTATGATATCTTTTTTGCTTGACGTTCAAAATAAAGATGCTTTGACTTTTGACTTTGAAAAGTGCCTATTGTTGTCTACTTGAAATAAAGAATTTGATTTGATTTGATTACTTTGAGATTAAGTGTACAAACTACGAATTCTACGAAGATAGATATGATGTCTGGAATCAAAAAATTAACACGAAATAGCAATAAAAATGTAATACCTATAAAAGTGCATAGATATGTGTATGCACTAAGTATAATTAATAATTAAATTAGCATTTTTGAAAAATAAAATGCACGTTTCAGTTTTTGAACAACTTAATTATTAATTCTTTTGAATATGCATTATTTTTTTGAGTATTCAGATTTATTATATACTAGCTTTTGCCCGCGACATTGTTCGCGTGAAATAGTCCAAACTGTGTCTGTACCAATGTCTGTACCAAATTTCACACAAATAGGTTCAGTAGTTTAGGCGTTAAGAAAAGCCAGGCACACAGACAGACGGACAGAGTTACTTTCGCATTTATAATATTAGTTTGGAATAAAATCGGAATGGTTTTAGTAGTAAAAATGACAATGAGGTGGTTCTAGTAACATTAAAATACCTATTACTAATATGTATTATAATTCAGGGTTAAAACACGCATTTTAGGTAATAAAATAAATAATTGATTCTCAAGGAATCCAATGCGTGTAGAATATTAAGTGTTATTAACTAAACCTAGATAAGTATCGAATTTTCAGTCCGGGAAGTACATACGTAGCTTGGTCTTTTTGATATATCTAGGTATGAAATAACGTTCGTACTACCTAGATTTTTATAAGCTTGTTGTTCTAACTCTCACATAGATATAGTAGTGTAGGTTAAAGATATGATTTTTCGATATGTATAAAAAACGTCGTCATTTTAATCCGTAGAATTTTCTTACAAATCTAACACTATATGTAGTTCCATCCTTTGAACAAATTATTATTAGGTAGAATATGCCGTGAGGGTCATAAAGTAAATAATATAATTTAAAAACAAAAGATGACATAAATAATCGAAATTTTCTTCCTTAAATCACAAGTGAATTGCGCAATAGATTAATATTTATAACCGCGTTAAATTATTTGAAAGGTTAATGCAATTTTTGCATAGATAGACAAAGGTCAACATATTATGTGTACGTACGTAAAAGGCAGAAAAAATAACAATTAGTCTGATAAACGTGGAAATTACTTTCGTTGTGGTATTACAATGTATTGGTTTGACGTGGTAATTATTATTTTTGGCTGCGTCCGTCTGCCCCACGTGTTGAAGTACGGCTTGTGCCAAAAAGTATGAGGTATAAAGCCCTCGAGTGGATTTGCGTGAACGCTTAGTGTGCGCAAAGGACTTGGAGTGCGAGTGGTCTGTGTTCTCATACATACGTAGCGTGCGCCGGCGCAGTTCTCGTCGCGCCGTAACACGGTTCGCGCGCCTCTTTTTGTGCTTTGTTGATTTTCAAGGGTGAGATATTTTTTCGTATTATTTATTTATTTGATTTCGAGTGCATAGAAAAATAAAACAGTTATATCCATTTTATCCACAATATATAAATATAATAGGGTTTTGACCTTTGACATTGGAAAAATATTAATTAAATCAGTCGAAAAATACAAACTATTTATTATTAGTGATTTTTGCTTAGTAGGTTATAATAGTTCATTAACTTAATTAATTGATCTTGTAATATATATGAGCTTTGGCAGCTGAAAGATTATGAAAGCTTGCATAAGTAAAACAGGGCTTAAGCTTGCAAAAGTAACAACTGCACTTTTGAGTGTAACTTATGACATAATAACTGAAGCAAATAAACAGGTGGTTATGAATCAATAATTACCCTACATAGGTATGAATTTATTTAATCATTGAACTAATTTACATTGCTGAGTTATACAATCATCGTAGTAGCTAAGATTCCAATACATATTTTTCGCATTTTCTTAGCCTCACGTGTTGTGTGGAAAATTAATGGCCTTAATTTTTTTAAGTTCTCGTTTTATATATAGAACATGAATCTATTATTTCTTAGATGAACCGTAACCTTACTTATTACTAACTTGAAGTTTTATCAAAAGTTTCTCTATGGCATTTAAAATTAGCGTTTTAGTTCAATTGTTACATACATATTTAAAATGGGTATAGTTGAAAAAGTAAATTGAAAACCTATCTATAGGCCACCCATATATTATAACCTTTAAATATTATTTAATGTCATCAATTAATATTTAGATAGATAATTGGTTATCACATTTCCACACACCAATTAGACTGCTATTGATAATAATTAGGATAAGTATTATTGTAATCAATGCTTGATATAGATAATGTTGTTTCTTTAAATGGTTGCAATTGAAAATAATTTTATTTGTTGTTTTTGTGGAAATCGTACGTCTAAAGTGTAACTATGGTACGTACTTATTATATGTATTTCTTTTTTATCGTTTTTCTTAATTCAAATTTAAAGACACATAGCCAGTAATAAAGTTGTGAGCGTAATCTATTATTTTATAAATGACACTTTCATTAATTCCGAATTTAAAATAACTTAATTTGTAAAATTATGTATCTAATATGTGAAGTAAAATTAATTTCCTTTTCTTACTAAGAAAGAGTTAAAAAAGCCATGCTTTTTATATATCTATAAATTTATATGTATTTGGGCAATTCATACGGAATATATATTTTTTTATGTGGGCAAACGAGCAGACGGATTACCGTAACAACAGAGCAGTTACGAGTGCGTTACCCACCTTTTGGGGATTGGAGATTTGGAGACTTAGGGATTGAGGGAGGGGAAGGATTCCATTATTATTAATTATATTAATGCGAAATATTTATTATGGTACGCATATTGCATACATTGTTGTAAAAAATACATTTTAATAATATTGTTTTTCCCTTTAGATGCTAGCATAGTGTCGGTTATAAAACAAAATTGAATAACTTGAATCAAAACTATACAGTAAGGATATATTATGTATAGTTTACCAGTTTTGTAATATGTTTATAGAATAGCAACCCGACCGTTTGAGGTTGCATGATTAAATAGCTGCAAAAAAGGAAAAAATAAAAAACATTTTCTTTTTATAATATTGTATATACTTACTCTTGTTATTATGTCATATTGATTCATAATAACGTATTACTACGCTGTTCGAACAATTTCGATGATATCACAAATCCAATGCCACGTGAGCCATTCAATGCATGGTTAAAGGTATCACGAAGAATTTAATAGCCATTGCTTACCTTGACAAATAAATCCATTACTCAGTAAAATGTCGTATCTGTTTATATATATCGATTATATATATATAAACATACATAATATACTTTGTTATATCACTATAAAGTATAAAACAAAGTCGCTTTCTTTGTCCCTAAATCCCTATGTACCTGTGCTTAAATATTTAAAACTACGCAACGGATTTTGATGCGGTTTTGTTTAATATAGAAAGAGTGATTGAAGAGGAAGGTTTTTTATGTACCTTATATTCTAGTGGAGAAATTTAGTATCAGCATTACACTAGAATAAAGCCAGGGCGGGTTGCTAGTTCATTATTAATAATTAAAAGACAATAATAACTGTAGTTTTATGCACCTACATACATATATTACAAATTTTGAAATAAAGAAATTATGAAACTAACAAGCTTAAAAGAATTTACGAGTTCCTTCCAAATTTTTGCTTGTGTCGAATTGTATGTGGTATATGCGGATAGCACACTGAACTTTACCCTTGAATACATCTCGAAGGTGATAAATGATGTGACAAAAATTATAAAATCACATTCTTTTTATTTTGTAACGTTTTGAAAATCATCGGTCGTGTAGTTTAACATTAGAAACGTCAATGGGGCGCTGCGCGCGCGCTGACCTTGAGCGCGGCTGGCATACCGGCAATTCATTCGCACACGTGGGGCTACAGGCTCCCATCCAATGCACTTAATAATCACTGCATTTTATCTATCAACTTATTTCAACCTCTATTATTCTTCATTTTGTAGTTGAGGTCGTTTTCTGTTGATACTGTGTTGACTCTATGGTACTCTGTTGGTACTTCCGGAAAAATAAAATAGAAAAATTAAAATACTCCCCGGATGTAAGTAAATAAGGAAAATTTTTAAATGTCGACAGGGTGTCGTGGTTATTGCCCCTAAGCGTTCACTGACTTTCCATTTTATTTTGTAAGTAGGTATTTGTATCAGTTGTGAACTTTGTCATTAAGTTCTTTTACCCTTTTGTTATTGGGTAGACATTTACGATTTTCCTCTGTTAAATGTTTTTTAATGGATTCCTTTCTTAAGGATACATGAATTTTAGCCATATCTTGTAGGATTTCTATCAATGGAAAGTAGGGACCTGATCTGTTAAGTTTTATTTAAATCATATAATATGTAGATATGTAGGTGTTGTTGTGGCTTGGCATTAGTTGTAGTATTTTCTTATGTGTGTGGGAGACTATGATGACTCAGTAATAGCTCGGTCGGCGCGCAGCGTTCAGTTGTTTAGTAAATAAACAGTTGCGGCTCAGAACGCATTATTATGTATTACATAAATGCCATCTGCGTTTGCATTTCTTTTGTAATGGAAATTGAGTAGGAACGTGTTGAATTTCCAATTGAAATACAAGTAAGTGAGTTGTTATTGGATACAAATGTTCAAGGATCAATGAAAAAATACTTATATATCGATTATTTAGTATTTACTACTTTAACCAACCGGCTGACGGTATTTGAATAAAAATCGTATTTATTTTTGTGATACGGTAGCAAATGTGTCTACGGATTACCTGGTGGCAAGCAATTTATGCCGATCATAGACCCGCTACACCAAACATTCTTTGCCGACTTTCTGAAAAGGATTTTGGGGATGTAAAGATTTTAGAGAAATTATTGAGCCTCAACAATATTCTATAACTGGTTGTGTATAATGTAATGGAAGCGTTATTATGATTTAAATTCGCATTTGTGTACTTAGTTAAAAGTTTGGTTTCTGTTATCACAGTAGATAGTCGGCAGGATGTTCCAAGCCTACAATTATGTGAATCAGTGTGACGGAGTGTGACATTCATACCTACCTACCTACCTACGTTTATATACTTTATGTACTTACATCATATTCAACTCGATCACAGTTTTTGTTATTCATTTATGTGATTGAAGACAAAAAGCCAAAGAGCCAGATAAGAAACATTTTGATTTTTGAACTGTTGTTTTTTTATTATTATTTTAATGCCATGATTATTTGTAAACTTTTTAAAAAAAGTTTTTTGGAATTGTTTACCTGTATTCCCTGAAGAGTTTTGGCATGGCTGTTTTGAAAAGATTTTTGGATTTCTTTGACAGATTCCGTGTATAAGCCTGGGTATCTTCAAGTCTCGAGTGAATAAGTTGCTTATAGGTAGGCGTGTTCCATTGTAGGTTGCAGGTCCTATTAACAGGAAAAATGGTGGCCAAGCGAATTTCTAATAAAAGTGATGTTACCTCAATCTAGCGTCCACCTAGAGGCCACCAGGACGTAATCGATGTACAGTTTTGAATTTGAGTAAGTCAGGAATCTTACTACTTAGTCTTAGATAACCTACCTAATTAACTTTTGGAATGTGGAAAACTTTTAAAGAAGCTAAAAAACTATTTTTCTTTTTTTAAGTGTATTCGAATTATACCATTTCCGTATAGTGATGTACAGATCAGAATTCTAGTATATTTAAAGTTAGTATATTTAAGTATATTTTAAGTACAAAGACGAGTACTTATTAGAAAAAAATATTATTCTAGGTATGTAGGTACTTATGTATTTATCGATTATCCTCATCTGTTATTTATATTACAAGGAAAAAAACCGCAATGCTATTTGTATTATGACGTTTATGGCTTAAGGTATAAAGGAAAATAAAATGTCCGACTAGTTTCAGTTTGTCCACTTTTTTAAGAACGTGCGTCTTTAGTCAGTTTCCTAATTTGTTTTATTTGCTAAAGCACATCATGATTAATTAGTCATTCTTAGTAGGTAAGCTAGATATCCATAGGTTATAAAAAAACTAATCGGAGTTTTGCGAAACTTAATAAAAAATAATTTGCTTTTTACAAAACTTGTTGAAAAAGTAATCGAGGAAAGCTCTCCTAGTTTCGAGTCGCAACGGGACTCTTGTTTCTGTACAGTGTGTGTGCCGCGATGTAGGTACTAGTTCAGCTAATGAGTATTAAGTATCAATAAATGTTGAAGGTACCTAAGTCTCGGAAATTTATTATACCAAAATAGTAATTTTCTATGGTTAATTACGTTACAATCTTAATTATAAGCAGTAGAATCTTAAACAGACGTCAATTATCACATAAGTTTACAAATCCATCAGATACCTTGAAATCGTGTTTTAATTGTTTACCTTTGAACACCCACATGGATGTTATTTAACTTGTATCTTATTTCCTGCTCCACACATAGGTACCCTTAACCTTACCCTTGCCTCTTGACCACATAAAAAAACTATTGCTATTGCCATTATTGATTATGACCCGCGTGACCTTGGTTTATGTTATTTTATAAATCAAGGTCGAGACCAAGTTATCTTCCATTGATTTAATATAAACACATACATATGTGGGTTTTGATTAAAACATTGAAGTTTAAATACCATTTAAATTGTATTAGAGTTTGTTTTTGGTTGACAGAAGAGTTTTAAGTTATTTTATGACTTGTGTTATTGATATAAAATTGTTTTTGCGTTTTGATTTGTAGATCAATAAGTCTATATCTATTTTTGTTTTATTGAAATTTTATACCTATATTGTTGCCAGTATTCTTCATAGAAAAAAAAAACATTCAAAATTCGAAACAATTAATAATTTATTTAATTTTTTTTAATGACGAACTGGTTCGTGATTGGCATATACATTTAAAAATACATTCTATACTTCGTAGTTCCTCCTCTTTGGAATCACACATTAGAATAGGTACATATACATATACAATTGTGTACCTATAGGTATATACATCACGAGTGCTTATATAAAACGTCTACAGAATTATCCATTTTGATTATAATATATGTATGATGGGTATAAAACTAGACATCTATTTTGATGAAACCAGTTAAAAACAATGGCGTTTCATGAAAAAAATATTTTATGATTATTGTGGTCATATTTTTTTTTGTTTTTCTCGATGTATCTACAGAGTAAGCAAAAATAATATGGCATCTTTTGAATTGACTTTAAAAAAATGAGAAGCTTAATTCAATTGTTAATTCACTTAATATAAATCGTCTCCGCAAATATTTACGCTAAGATACATATTGAGTTAATTTATAAAATCTGGGTTCCGTGATTTAAAACAAACACTAAAGCTTGAGAAGGATATTCATTGACTGGTGACTATATAGGTTAGTTATAACAGTAAATCATC